TTTAATTTATCTAAATAAGTGTATTTTCCAGGTTTTAAATTTTTAAAGAAATTTTCTGTATTTGTTCCTATATAAAGAGAAAGTATAATGGACAGTGTCTTCGTGAGTGTAAGTTTGTTAAGGTATCCATGTTACCATTTCCTATGTCTACTCCTCACAAAAACTGAAGGCAGAACATCAGCATGTCCAGGATAATTTAGCAAAGGCATCTCCTCTTGAAAGTGGAGGGCTCTTGCCGCTGGCAGCGCTTAGGAGTAGCATGCCTCTGAACCAAAGCCTCAAAATGGGGACTCGAAAAGATTTTTTAAATTGGAGCAAGTCATGGAAATGTAAATACTATGGTCACCAAAATTATACAGCTCTCATGGTTTATGGCATAAGACAATAAAGTGTCCTGATGCTGCCAGTTACGAAGGTCCAAAACCACTGTGGTTCATAGTGAGTTTGGTGCTTTAGAAGGTTCTATGATGGATATTTACTTTTTCATTAAAACTTTAAACACAGGTTTCTTTCACAGCAGATACGAAACCGTCTGCCCTGAGGGCAGCGCTCACAAGTGCTTTTCCTTCACACTTGAAGGTGCGCCTGCCTGTCCACTGCCAGTTTGTCGGGCCATTTGCTGTTGTTTCTCATCAGTCGTGGCTGCAGCTCATCACTGGACGTCGGCTTTGCTAGATCCTCACAGGGTTTTCCATCTGCCGATGACAGCTTTCCGTTGAGTGCACTGTCCCGGCATCTTCTCGGGTGTCTTGTCTGTCTGGCCCTGCACATGCTGCCCTGGCTCCGGCGCACTGCGCTGCAAGGCCTCTGGGTTTTGTCACCTTGATCAGACATGGCCAGCAGATGGCGCCGACTTTCCCGCTTGAAAAGCAGGATGTTATTTCCGTGTCAGGTCCCTTTGGGCTGGATCTGAAGTCAGTGCTTGTGTTTGGAGCCGCTCTTTAAATTTCCCTGTGTCTGAGGCATCTGCATCTGAGTGCAGATGATAAATTGCATCTTGTTACCTTCGCAGCGACTTAAAAATCCTGGTGGTTCTCACCTGGCTCTGTGTAGTAATTGATCCAGAAGAGCCTAAAGAGGTAATTGCCTGTGAAGCAACGTGGTTGTTGTGCCGGTCACTTGCCACTTTCCCTCATGTGGTTGGTAAAGACGTGGCTTCTCTGAGATTGTACGACACTTGCACATTGCCCCGTGCAATGTCAGGGTGAAGTTCAGTATATCCAATTGTATTAGTTTCTGTTGCTGTGTAAGAAATAACCACAAATTTAGAGGCTTAAAACAACATACATTTATTATTGGCCAGTTTCCGTGGGTCAGGAGCCCAGGTATGGGGTAGCTGCCCAGCATGTTACCAGGCTGAAATCACAGCACCGGCCAGCTGCGTTCTCATCTGAGGCTCACCTTTGCCTGAGGCAGCATGGCGGCTGAACTGGGCCAGCAGGGTGGAGCAGCTAGGACGGGGCCCAGACTCGAGGAGGAGGCCAGTGGCTCTGCCTGCTCAGCTGGCGCCCCGGCGTTGGAGGAGTCATCTTTCAAGGTCATGCAGGTTGTTGGCAGAATTCAGTTCCTTGCGGTGGTAAGGCTGAGGTCCCCATTCTCCTCCTGCTTTTTGGCCAGGGGTCACTCCCAGCTCCAAAAGGCTGCCCTCAAGTCCTTCTTCAAAGCTAGCAGGATAATCTTTCTTATGCATCAAATCTCTGCCTTGAGGAAGGGCCCAGTTCCTTGTAAAGGCTCTCCTGATTGGTTCAGACCCACCAAGGATGATCTCATTGGATTCACTCAAATTCAAATGATTAAGGACCTTAATTACATCTGAAAAATCCTTTCACTTTTGCCAGATAGAGTAGCCTAATCACGGGAATGAAATTCCATCATATTCATACTCCTGCCCACACTCAAGAGGGACAGGATTACATAGGGTATATACACCCTGGGGTGGGGGGACAAGAATCTTGGGGGCCATCTCTCGGTATGGTTGTACATTCTGAGAAATGCTTTGTTAGGTGACTTCATCATCGTATGAACATCACAGAGTATACTTACACACATCTATATGGGATGGCTCACTGTGTCTGCAGGCTGTGTGGTCAGCCTACTGCCCCTAGGCTACAGACCTGGACAGCACGTTACTGTACTGAATACTGCAGGCAACTGGAACACAGTGGTAAGTGTTTGTATATCTAAACACATCTAAACAGAAAAGGTACAGTAAAAGCGCGGCATTGTAATCTTACAAGACCACTGTCATACGTGTGGCCCGTTACTGACGGAAACGTTGCTATGTGGTGTGTGACCACACTGCCTACCACACTTCTCTTTTCTGTTCAAAATCCTTATCAGTTACACCACCAATCCCAGAAACTGTATTTTTTAACAGCTCTGGCTACATGCTAGAATTTTGAAAATCAAGTGAATCTTGGCATTTTCTCTTGTTTGCACCCACAGTGGCAAAGGGTACATGAGGAAGATCATAAAATTGTTGAAATATTGATGTTCTTTCTAAAAATGCCTTTGGACAAATTTTAGAGCTGTCTTTAGAAAAGCAGGTACTAAAATTGTTCATCACCGCTGGTCATCATTACCTCAATAAATGCAATAGAAATATAAATGGGAATACCATCCCTAAGTTGCCCCTAAAGCGTATTTTAGACACTTCTGGTCAGGACGTGCTGTGACTTTACACAGGAAGAATAGCTAAAACAATATCAGTATATATTTCACA